GTCTTGGCTTTGGCTGTAGTTTCCTTCCTCTTCATCACGTGTTTGGTGGTTATTATATCAGTGAAAATCTACAGATGGAGACAGTCTCGCATCCTGTATCACTCCAGTCTCCCTGTCATTCCATATTATCCACCACGTTACTCAGACACTTTGGGGACAGGGACTCTCCAACACGTGTACAATTACGAGGTGTGCAGGACGACAGACTCCAGAAAGAGTGACTGTAAGTTCGGCAGAGCTGGTAGTCAGAACGTGCTGATAATGGACCCCAGTTCTACAGGGACGATGCAGCGGATACAGACTGACAAGAGCATCCTGGATGAACCTGACTCTCCTCTAGAGGTGAGGTGCAATTAGCAGTGTTTTCTTATCAATTAATGTTCCTTTTGACTGAACTAAAATTGAAATAGGTAGCGGGTAAAAATTTCACTGGAAATGCTGTCGGTTCTTTTCAGCACCACAGTCCGGACAGCTCCTCTTCATCTGAAACTGCTTACTTGCTTCAACACTTTCCACTTTACTCATGACTTCTGATCAGAAATGTTACCGTCCAAAAGCGCTTTAAATACTATTGCTACAACTACAAAACATAGTACAATAATAGGAATAATAACATTATTGTTATTGTTATTATTAATAATGATAATAATCATCCTCATCACAGCCATAATACATACTCTTCCTCTTGTTCTTGTAATTGTTATTGTTGTTGTTGTTGTTGTTGTTGTTAGTAGTAGTAGTAGTAGAAATAGGAGGAGTAGGAGTCTTAGGAGCAGTAGGAGTAGGTTTATTAGTGTTATTATCACTGACAACGCAGGCTAACTGGGCAAGATGATCAACATGTATATATGTAGTTTCCCTACCTACAATAGTTATTCTGACTTGTTATCAATGTTATTTCTTAAGTCAGTCGCAATGATGTTACAAATATTTTCCATGAGCTTTGAACACAACATTTAAAGTGTTCCTAATAATCTGGACACCACATACATTACCTCAGATGGGCTCTGAGCGCCGCTGTTGATACATCATTGACTCACTGTCCAAATCAGCAGTGCAGCGGTCCACCCCTTTAATTCCGCTCAGTGTGTTATTGTCGGAGAGAAGACGGTCTGGCCTGTGGAGGCTGAAAGCGTAGCATTTCTCGAGGATTTATCTGCTGAAAATACCGTTGTTTTATTCAGCAGGTGGATTTAATAGCATCATTTTGGTATTGAAAGGGATTACTGCCTCTGTACCTTTGGATTTATGATGGATTGTTTGTGGATAACCGCTCGCAGAGGCCGATGGCAAGTGCTGCTTGTTATTCTTTGTCTCTTCAAGCTGAGCTCAGTGACTGGACAGGCTCGGTACTCCGTACCAGAGGAGCAGGCAGAGGGATCTTTCGTTGGAAACATTGCTAGAGATTTAGGCTTGGATGTGGCGAGGCTCGTGTCAGGTAAAGCTCGTATTATTACAAAAGGAAGCCGACAGTACGTTGATTTAAACCGAGACAAAGGCACCCTCGTTATTAAAGAGCGAATCGACCGAGAGGAGCTGTGTGGAAAGACGACGCCCTGTAGCTTCAGTTTCGAGGTGATTTTAGAAAATCCCATCCAGCTTTATCGGGTAACAGTGGAGGTAATAGACATAAACGACAACAGTCCGTCGTTCCCAAAGGATGAAATCAATCTGAAAATAGCAGAAAGTGTTACATCAGGGACTCGTTTCTCTCTAGAAAGCGCGGATGACCCCGATGTCGGTATAAACGATATTCAAAGATACATTTTAAAACCCTCGGACAATTTCAAATTGGAAGTACAGAACCAGCCTGATGGAGGGAAATTCATCGAGATGGTTTTACAAAACCCGTTAGACCGAGAGAAAGAGGAGACTCACACACTGGTGCTGATTGCTTCAGATGGAGGGGAGCCACACAGATCAGGGACAGTGCGTATTCATATCACTGTGCTAGATGCTAACGATAATGCGCCAGTGTGCAGTCAGCCTGTTTATAAAGCTGATGTGAAGGAGAACTCTCCTGAAGGAACAGTGGTGACCACTGTTAGTGCAAATGACGCAGATAAAGGAATCAATGGCGAGATAACATTCTCTATAGGCCATGTTGCCAGAGAAGCGAAGCAGCTTTTTGCAGTAAATGTCAAAACTGGGGAGATTAAAGTTTCAGGTAAACTGGATTTTGAAAAATCTAAGACTTATCAGTTAAATGTTAAGGCTAGTGATCATGGAGGGTATTCAGATACGTGTAAAGTTATTATTCAAATAATTGATGAGAATGACAACGTCCCCACGATACAGCTGATGTCATTTTCTAACTCGATATCCGAGGATTCTCCTCCAGGTACAACTATAGCTGTTGTTAACGTTGATGACGAAGACTCAGATGGTAACGGTGTTGTCAAGTGCTCCATTAACTCTGACATACCTTTCAAAATCGAGTCTTCATTAACAGGATATTACAGTATAGTAACCGATAACCTCTTAGACAGAGAAAGTATTCCTGAGTATAATATCACCATCACCGTGTCTGACCAAGGCTCCCCGCCTCTGTCTAGCAGTAAAAACATTAATGTAAAAGTGTCTGACGTGAATGACAGCCCACCCAAATTTGATGAGTCAGAATACAGTAAGACTGTACCAGAGAACAACTCTCCTGGGTTTTCTGTGTTCACTCTGAGTGCTAGTGATGCAGACTGGGGCCAAAACGCTCTGGTTTCCTACTTTGTGGAGGAGAAAGAGATTAATGGGGTGGCTGTGTCTTCGTTAGTTTCAGTAAATTCAGAAAATGGTGTCATTCATGCAGTGAGGTCATTTGATTATGAGCAAATCAAGTGGTTTGAATTTAACGTGACTGCTCGTGATGCTGGATCCCCTCCTCTGAGTTCAGTGGCTACAGTAAGAATAGTAGTCCAGGACCAGAACGACAACCCTCCTCAGGTGCTGTACCCAGTGCAGACTGGTGGCTCTGTGGTGGCTGAAATGGTGCCTCGTTCAGCAGATGTGGGCTATCTGGTGACTAAAGTGGTGGCTGTTGATGTGGACTCTGGACAGAATGCCTGGCTGTCCTATAAACTGCAGAAAGCCACAGACAGGGCGCTGTTTGAAGTGGGCTTACAGAATGGAGAAATAAGAACTATCCGCCAAGTGACTGATAAAGATGCTGTCAAACAAAGACTGAGTGTTATAGTGGAGGACAACGGGCAGCCCTCTCGTTCAGCTACAGTCATTGTTAACGTGGCGGTGGCGGACAGCTTCCCTGAAGTGCTGTCTGAGTTCACTGACTTTGCACACGACAAGGAGTACAATGACAACCTGACTTTTTACTTAGTCTTGGCTTTGGCTGTAGTTTCCTTCCTCTTCATCACGTGTTTGGTGGTTATTATATCAGTGAAAATCTACAGATGGAGACAGTCTCGCATCCTGTATCACTCCAGTCTCCCTGTCATTCCATATTATCCACCACGTTACTCAGACACTTTGGGGACAGGGACTCTCCAACACGTGTACAATTACGAGGTGTGCAGGACGACAGACTCCAGAAAGAGTGACTGTAAGTTCGGCAGAGCCGGTAGTCAGAACGTGCTGATAATGGACCCCAGTTCTACAGGGACGATGCAGCGGATACAGAGTGACAAGAGCATCCTGGATGAACCTGACTCTCCTCTAGAGGTTAGTTAAATATCAAAGATTGCTCTCTGTGCCTTTGTTGTTTCCTTTGTGTTTAGTTCCATAGATAGTAAACTATTGCGCGCGTGACCCTCATTTTCAGGACCATGGACAGTGTCACACTTTTAACCACTTTTCCTGTATTCATATTCAGACCGTCATAATAATATCATCTAGATTCTGAAACAATGATATGCTTTTCCATTTTTCACACACATACACACACACACACACACACACACACACACACACACACACACACACACACACACACATTACTTTCATGAAGTTGCACTGCGTGTGAAAACCGACTGATAACTTTTGCTGACTCTGAACCAGACTCTCCTCTGGAGGTGGGTTAATAGGTCAGTCATTATTCACAAAATTGCAATACATGTATTATAGCGTGTTTTCATGTTACATATTTTTTTGGCTTGGTAGCTCTACTCACTTTCTAATTTGTTGGCATCTCCAGTACCAGCAGTGATGGACAGCTTCTCTCAGAGTTGAGCCAGTTAATTGAAGTGATAAAAGAGTCAGTTAGGAAAAGCACTCCCTAAAAGTCCCTCTCTGAAACCGTTATGTATGTATGATGTTTTGGGATTGTTAAGATTAGACAATATTTCTGTGTGCGTGGAGGGAGACAACAAATGAGATTGTTCGTCAAGAAAGTTATCCAGTTAATGGCTCCTGACTTTACTGCATTTTTCTCCCCTGCATCATTTCTTCCTGTCACTTAAAGCCCTTGTAAGCTACATTTTATTTATCTTATTTACAGTCTCAGTATGAAATCTAAATGCACACACTGAGTTAATCCTCACCTGTGTGCAACACAAGCTCGCTGCTACGATATCTCAGCTGTTTTTGAGACAGAAGTGTTTCCCCCTTTTTAGTGACAGCACTTGTTATTTTAATGTCGGACTCTAAGGGCCGCTGTTGATCTTTAGTGAACATGAGAAGCTTTTGAAAAGCAGCTACACCTCCAGTATTTCCTTTAGTGCACCACGGAGAGCAGGACGCTCGGTCTTCATTTTTACCGCTGATTTTTTTGGACTAATGTTATCGTTCTTACACTGTGGATTATAAAGAAATCGACAGAAGGATGATACGAGCTAATAAGTCGGCTTTTTGAAACATATTTTCCTGTGGAGTCTGGTGAATTGCTTCGGTAATATGGCTTTTATCAGCGGTGAGCCCACGGGTACATGGCAAGTACGGGCCTTCATCCTTGTTTTTCTTATTGACGCGACGGTCTGCCAGATCCGCTACTCTGTCCCAGAGGAGATGAGAAAGGGCTCATTTGTAGGAAACGTGGCTGAAGATTTAGGCATCGACGCTAAAAGACTGATATCAGGCGGTGCCCGGATTGTTAGCAGCGATAGCAGCGAGTATATCAGGCTGGATGCAGACAAAGGGATTCTTGTCGTGGGGGAAAGGATAGATAGAGAGCAGCTCTGCGGGCAGACAGCGCCCTGTAGCTTGAATTTTGAAATGATTATGATGAATCCAATGCAGCTACACAGCGTTGTAGTGGAGGTTTTGGATGTTAATGATAATGCGCCTGTGTTTCATGAGAAAGAAGTGCATGTAGAAATACTGGAATCTGCTCTCCCAGGGACCGAAATATTACAAGAGAGTGCTACTGACCCTGATGTTGGCATCAACGCTTTACACGGCTATACATTACACCCAACAACACATTTTAA